CTGCTCTACAAGTTGTTACCCAACTAACTGTGCCAAGAAACAGTGTTATTACCCATAAGGCAGCCAAATTTTAAAAATCTCCATGTTCCGTGACCCTTGACTTTGAATGTATAACTTAAGTCACTTCATGATTGAAATCGTGCAAATCATGATTAGTTTCTGATGACTCGATAAACTCTAGTAATTTTCCTTGTTTATGATTACTGAAGAAGAATTAAAACGTTAGAGAAATGAAGGGTGAATATGAAACGAACTAGTTTTTCTTTATTATCTTGTAGAATATTAACAACTATTCAAAACTATCATATATAGAACTGATTTTAGAATTTTAAAGCAATTAGTCCCTTTGACAAATTTAGATAGCGTAAACAAAAGATGTAAATTATCAGAAAGATGTGATATATTAGTGCAATAAATTTAGAATTGTACCGTTGAACGCGAGCTAGTGTTTTCAATGAACAGTGGCTTTACATGAGACCCGAAAATCCTGACTTCGATCTCTGGAGAGACTGTAGATGTATAGTGCTCAGAAGTCCCATAAATAAACGAACAGTTGTCTAATGAATCTTGATTTTCTACAGTATTCCGATGGAATTTGTTCAAACCCTCTTAGTAATAGCGTTTTGGTCCTGACAATATGTGTACTCATAAGTTATTAAGGCGTATAAATCCCTTGAAACAATATCCAACATCCCACATGCTCAGTAGTACAGGAGAGTTTCATTACCTGCACTCTGGGTTTAGTTGACATTCATCGTCAATTAGTGAAGTGATTCGTTATTAGATGCTGAAGTATCCTTGGTTAACTTATTTCAGATTTCATGTCGAGGTATCCAGTCTGACCTTGAGGTCAACTTACATTTTGATCGAGAAACATGATATAAATATATTTAACTGGATTCTTCAGTAATTTTCGGGACTATTTTTTCATACATTAAGTACTAATCTTAGTCAAACAGTAAGAACCGGGATGCATTAGACAGATGTTTCATCCTAGTATAGGACTCCACATTGTCAGTGAGCATAACACAACTCCCAGCAGGGGTCAAACGCAGACCTCTCTATACTATTGCATCTATTTAAAATGACAGCTACATGTTTCACCTTCTAATGTTAAATAAATGCTGTTAGCTTACAGTAATTTAAGTGACAGAATATTTAGTGGTAAATCACCAGTAAATTTGGTTTGACTCAAGTCAGGTACTTTAGTGATTTTTGCGGCCTTCGTTGTTAGTCTGAGGAAATAATTATCACCCTAATAATGATATATGACAAACCAGGAAGAATTGCACTGTCTTAATGTTACGGGAAAATGAGGTATTTTAGAGTCATCTGAAACATCATATTTTGACAAGCTTTGGTATCTATATAAATCTATGTACCTAGGAAACTGAAAAACAAATAAGCTTTCTAAATCTGATAAGCCTAATGACAAGTGTCAATTATCCTCCATTTTTAAATGTGCATATTAGAAATGGGTCATGATTAGCGAATATTTGAACTATTTATCCGAAAAATCAAGAATCCCTTGAGTATTTTGGAGAAAATGTGTACCTACCATGATCACTTTGATCTTCTCCGTAATGATCTTGTTGCTTTTAAATTCGAATTCGTTTAGTCAATCAAGTGATCGTTTTATAACTAAAACTATGTTTTCTTCCTATTAAAGTCAGTTTGTGATGAAAATTCTTGCCAAAACAATAAACTATTCAGCTACCATTGATTTCTGCAAATAAATTTCAAAACGGGCTTTTTGAAGAGGAAAAATCAAATCAGAACAGATGCTATTCTTACATCAACTTAACTACTTGGAAGGTGACGGAAGGAATGTTAAAAAATACACCTTGTTCAACTGAACACAATAGTGCATGTTATCTTCAGTCTTCATTAAACGATCTAAAATAAAAAAACTAGCTGACACATTTTCGACTTACTTTCATCATAATTATCAATCAGATGTTAAAGTTAGGAATTTTGGAGTAACATACAGTCTGATAGTATAATCCTTAACTAACAGGATTAATGAGTAAATGGATAGCTTGATAGCAGTTAGTTTTACTCCATACTCATCAAATTCTAGGCTTAAATATATCTATCGATAAAGTCACTTTAACTATATTGGAAATCTTAGATTGCCAATGAAGAACCTCCATAATTAATATAACATATTAGAAATGGTTTGAACTATTCCGTTCTTAATATCCAGGATTGAATTATGATTAGCCTGTGTTGGCTTTTCTGTACACCCTATGACGATTGTCCCAATATATCCCTAACTAATGAAAATCTGAACACCATACCAGCAGAATACGTTGATGTTTTTTTGAAGTTAGTAGCTCAGTGGATAACATGTTAGGCATTTGAGGTGAAATTCGCTGGGTTCAAGTGTTAATGTGAATACATTGAGAACCACGTGCATCCAATCGACGAATCTCAAGTAGAACATAACGCCTGTCTTGAACTTGACTTTTAAACACAATCCATTTATTTTAAAAATCTTATGATTAATAATTTAACTGTTAATCAGTTCAGTGTTATTTACATGTGTCCTACAATTGAATATGAATAAATGTTGCAATATCTATCATATGGGTTATTAGAAGTTGTTTCCGTAGCTCCAAACCCTCTGACCTATGAATACTGAACGTAAAATACAATAGACATATTAGAATACTTTTGCTCTGCCACCCTTGTCCATAATCATGCAAAACAATCGAAGTCATAACCCCAAGGTTAAACACTTTGATAAATAATAATAATAATAATCTCCAGACGAAACTGTCAACTTTAATCAGTTAAGATAGATGAATCAGGATTGTTAAAATTTTGTTTACAATAAAGATCAATATAGATTGAAATAAATTATATTACAATGAGGATTTTTGACTGAAAATTTAATAAGTGTCATAAAGTATGAAGTTTTGAGAAAATTAAGTAGAAATTTAGGTCATGAACTAGCTGAACTCAAATACTTCAAATTATACTATCCTTGTATACGCTTCTAAAATGACATATATATTTCTCTATCGCTTATCGAAATATTTTACTCATTTAATTTTTCAAAAAGGAGTACTCTTTTCTATTTTTAGGAGGTAATAAGTGAAACATATCGGATAGTTACTGATAACATTCGAGACCCAACATGCAGTATTCACCCACTAAATGAATAAAAAAGGGTAACAGAAATGACCAAATAAAACATACGATTTGGACATTGAGAGCGTTGCAATTACCCTCAAATGACTTCTGCCCCCCCCCCAAAAAAAAAACATTTTACAAATAAATAATATATTTGTAATGTCCCAATAAGTAGAAAAATTAGATTTTTTTAGAAGAGATAACAAGATCATCACATCAGAAGAGGACAAACAAAAAGAACAAAAGAATGTAATTAGCATCTTATAATTTAATAATTTTCCTATGAAGATTATTAGAAGTATATTAAAACTAGTCGTTTTATTGAGTAATAATAATAATAATGAAATACCAAGGATTGGTACTGCAGTTTTACCATACCATCATGGGACAATAAAAGAACTCCAAAGAATCTCAAAACAACACAGAATCAAAATATATTACAAAACAACGAACACACTTCGAAATATTTTAGTACGCTTAAAAGCAGAAAAAAATCCCATTCATGTCAACATAGAACTGAGTCTACAAATTAGGTTGTGTCGATTGTGATGCCTTCTATATTGAGAGTCATCTAGCGAAATCTTGACTCGTGCCAAAGAACATATATCGGTACACAAAGAAACCACTTAATAATCCCGTAAACTGGATAGACTTCAAATTAAATCGGCAATAGCAGTTCATGCCATTTTCAACAACCACCAAATCGACGTTAAAAATATCAAAATATTACAAAAAGGTTTTTTCAATTACAAAGAAAGGAGAGTAGCTGAAGCGATCCATATAATACTTAGTCCTACTGTTCTCAATAAAAAGAAGACTACCATACATGCTAATTAGACTATCTATCCTAACCACCTATCTTTTCTCATCATAAAGGTCACATATTTTTCATCCTCAACAGTGCACACATTTATACATACAAATTTACATACATGTCGCTTACGAAACACCATGACTAAAATGACATGACACTGATTCATTCAGACCTGTTTTTTTATTGATCGCACATAATATTCTTGTTGTTCCGTCTGTACTATTTAAAATTGGTTATTTATTCTCTGAAGAAGTAGCTTACACTAAATCACGAAACACCAGAAAATCTAAATTTTTCTACTCATTGAGATATTAGAAATATATAATTTTTACTTATAACAATCTACACAATTTATTTGAAATGATCAAGTCAAACCTTAATAATAATACCTATTATTATTATTATTATTAATGGTTTTATTCAATATTATATTTTGGTACAGTATAGAATTCTCAGTACAGGGTATGTCAACAAGTTACTTACGCAAAAAGAACAGTAATAACTATAAAAAAAGGGAAAAAAGGTTTAAAAGAAAGTCCGAAAAACTGTACAACTTTTCAAATTAGAGACATGTTAAGAATGCAGGTTATTGACTAGGTTAACTCTAACAACCTGTTCGTCAAAGAGTATATTTGCTAGGTAAAGTATTATAGAACTTTTATATTTTTGCTTGCGTGCATGGATTTTAATGTAATTACGTCTCTTTCTACCAGAAGATATACAAGGAATAGATATGACTGAAGGGGATGGTTAGCATCTAATAAAATAACACCTGCCAGGAGTTTGCATGATTTTAAATGTCTATCCACAACCATATTAATTATGACCTCGAAGGATTTACCACACATCTTGCTAACTGCCTTCAGAACTCTCGCAATACAGCAAAGTCTTTTCTCAAAAGCCCGGGAAAGAATACTGGAGGACAGTAAAGAATAATAGGTAATATGCAAGAATTGACAAATTGTAAGAGTAAATGACGAATAATCCCAAGAGCATACAATCTCTTACATATTACAATAAAATATAAAATTTCCAAAAATACACTTACTTCCCATTTTTTTCACTTGACCATTTTCATGATTTTTCTGTTCTATTTTATTTGATATTTCAGACATTATTAATTATAGACAATATTATATCTGGATACAAAATTGTATTTCATTAAAATAGTTCAATTCTTAGTAATATATATGTATATGTATATACATAGAGAGTGTGTGTGTGTGATTGCATCATAAAAATATAAATATGTATTACAAATATTCCTGTGATTTACACATTTTATCAAATGACTCAAATGGATAATTGACTTGTTCAATGAGAGAAAAAAAACAACTTTATTTTTCAGAAAATTATTGTGAGTAGATTTCATCTCATAGAGTTACATTCATTAAAACATTAGAGATTTGTATTCAATCATCATTTATGATTAATTAGAATTACATTAACATGATGTACAATTTAGTTGATAAGTGGATATATATAACAAAATGAATGGATTCAAAACCAAAAAAAATTAATCAATGATTGCACTTCTACTAGACATACAAATATTAAAATTCACTGATTGGTTAAGATTATAGACCAATCAGATTTAAGATGTTCGTATATATATATTGATAATGTTAGGCAAGGTGCGTGCATATATATGAGTAAACAATTTGCGATAATTACTAGTCCATAAATGGCATTATAAACTCATTTCATACTTGGAATAGATTCATTTACCCAACAACAACAACAAAAAAAAGACTAAATTATGATTATTTTTTTAAAACTGGAAAATGAATATGATGTTTACTTATCCTCTTTTTATTTCCTTTCATTTCGAAATAATTTATTGAATTCTATTCTTGAGAGTATTCATTAAATAATTATGGGATTGTGTGAGATAGGGAAAGAAAACATTATTAACCATATGTTACTTTTTTTTTCATTTTGTATTGATTAATCGAAACTTATAACTAAATATATTAGAGAATCCCGAAAAACAGTTATATTTTATTCTTTTATAAGTTAGTCAGGTCATTACTGAGTAAAATCTATTTTTTATTTTTTTTTTACTTGTTAAAAGTAATATACTATCTTATTTCATAATCATGTCAATATAGGGTCGTTACATAATTGATATATACAAATATATAAGAACTTGCTAACACCTGGTTGGATTACTTTATTCCCAAAAATAAAATGAGAATAGGAATGTATAGTTGAATTGAAAGCATGGTGTATACGTGTTGCACCTTAGTATAATTAATCTAGAAAGTAATTGAAGGGGGATATTTTTTTAGGAATAATTGGTTTGTTCTTAAAAAAAGTAATACCCCCTTATGTGATTTTGTAACAACAAGGCTATACTAGGAGTTTACATTAAATAGACAGTATCCTAGCAAACTTACTTACTTATGCCTGTTAACCCTCGTGAGGGAGCAAAAGCCAACCACCAGCATTCTCCACCCTAGAAAACTAAACTCTTCCAATGGTTTACCAGTGGGAGTAATGCACGCTGGAGCTTCCAACTAATTACACCCCCCAAGAGATTAAGAAATCAGATTACTTTTAAATGAATCATTACATTGACGAACCAAATAAATATTATAAGAATGGCGAGATTGAATCGAAAAGAATAGAAAATCTAATGAAAGACATATACAATGATCTATCAGTTCTCGACCAAAATCTTAAAAATGTTATCGAGATTTAGTAGTAACTCTTTGGTGAAAATAATTTCATGAAAGGTAATAATTCACTGGGTGTTTTAAAAAATCTGAGATGACATCAACTATTCACTAATTGGAAATTCAATAAAGAAACATGAATAGGGAATTTCTGTTCAGAAATGTCTACTTATGGTAATTCCTATCTAAGTAGTATGGAGTTCTTGAATCACTAGAATAACAGGATTGTTTTCATCAATTATAAAAAGTGCGATTACTTACTTACTTACTTACTTACGCCTGTTACTCCCAATGGAGCATAGGCCGAAAAAGTGCGATTAGTTGTTAGAAATGTTTAGGGATAAACTATGTCTATATGAAAGTAAGTTTCATACTAGATAAGGACTCAGTAGTGTCGTGACTTTATGAGCCGCTTGTTATCACGTAATCTATTTGCCAATCAAAATACGACTTGTTCGCCCTTATACTGTACTAAACCGACTACGTTCGACCGGTATGATCAGCCTAGCGTCCTATTGATCCGTTGCTAGCCTAGCCCGTCAAGCTGAGTCTAGAATGCCAATAACAGCCTCCACTATGCGAATCATTTATTTCAGACATACTGGGTTTATATACACAATGAAGCCAAAAAGTGGTTGTGAACGTGGGAGGCAGTAGTCAATAAACTGAACATAGCTTAAGAACAGTAAATCGTACAATAATAATATATCAGTCAAAATAAAGCTTACAACAAGGGGAATATAGATATACATAATCTAGTTACTGAATATTTATACCATAACAATATATAGGTAATATTAGTCCATTAATAGGCCTCAGACATTACTCGTAATGTAATCTTCACTAGGATATAACAAATAGCTCAGTGGACAACATGTTGGAAGTTTGGGGAGCAACCCAATGGGTTCGAGACCTAGTGTAACCATAAACACTGGAATCCAGATGCACCAAGCTAAAGAATTCCGAATAGGACAAAACACACACCCTGAGTTCCAATGTTAGTCACAAACCTATCTGTCCTATCATTAATAGATAATCGTTTATTACATCATATATGTATTTCTACGACATACAATCTAACTAATCCAATACGACTGATATTGGGTGGCTTGTGTGACATCCGTATTAACATGCCTACTGTCTGGTGATACATAAGTCCTGCACCACACCAAAGTTCAGGACTTCCTCTCAACTGATCACTAAGGTTTAAATCCAGTCAACAGAAGCTTCAGTTTCCTAATGATGGAATCGTCTTAATCTTGGAAGGTTTGTTGTTTCTTAAATCAAATGAGAACTACAGAACCAAGTTTTATCACACTTTAGCGGTTTTATTTTGTTTACCCAATAGGGGTTTTGAATCTATCCACCACATTCCTCTCTTTATATATATATATATATATATATATATATATATATATATATATATATACAACGCAAATTATTCAGTTACATTAGCTTATAATTCTACAATTCAAGTAGTCAGTCATGCATAACGCAGAACCTGGAACACACTTACACCGATTCAAGCAACCATAACACGTTATTGTAGCGAGATAAAAATATCAGGACAAATCTCATAGAAATAGAATTAGTAATGGTACCTGTGGTAGTAGAAAACACTAAATATAGACAATGTCATTCAACACCAAATGAATTCGTTTTATTAAAAAAAAGTTTAAAAACTCAAAGTTTAAACAAAAACAAAGAGTGAATGCATCTGAGTTTTTGCGACCAAGTCTGAATTACGCCACTCGACGTCTCTAGCCATTGGTAATGATAATCGTGCAGATAATCTACGTCTACTAATAAGACTCAGTCCAATAGTCACTGACTTCATGGAACAAAGTAACACATTGGTTTAGTCATCCCTAGCTTCCTGGAAACTTATTCCTACCCAAGTCAACACCCCTCATCTAAACAGATGGTAGTTTGGCACACTTAATGCACCTTACAATCACCACAGCCCACAAAGACTCACTACCTCATCTTTACCTAGTACCGCGTATCCAGCCTCAACATTACTCAGTTCGAGTTTCCAACAGACACGAGCAATCTTTTGAAGGCATCTATAATCAAATACCAACAACTTACACCCATAAAGTAAAACAGAACGAATTACTGCTCAGTATATTCATCTTTTGGTTGAAAGATGAATTAGTATCTAGTCAATGTTACAGGTGCCGCAAATTGGCAAAACCCAATCAGATTTTCTGAATCCATACTACAATTAATTTCTTAAAGAGTTATTTAAACCAAAAAAAATGAAATAAATAGAAAGCATCTTGGTAAATGGGCACAAAATATTTCAAAACGATTTGTTTATATTAGCAATAAGGTGCAATAATGAAAAAAGGAATTTGATCTAGTTTTAACGTCCTTCAAAAGCCCAAGACGAAACTTCTTCAATTCTCACCAAAACAAATATTAGACATTACTGTGTAGTACGGTTGTCCCTTAAAAAATATACAGATATCTATCGGTCACCATAAGAGCTTTATTACAGTAAATGCTAAATTGAAATTTTTCTCACTAGAATACTATCAGTCATCAGACATCATTTCAGTACAAAGTGTACATCCTAATTGAGAATATTTGAACCTCTTCAATAATCTACGACTAATTGATACAACTGGACAATTTATTGTTATTAACGTAAAATGCTGAATATTACTGATTAATTGAGATCACGAACCGATCTAAGTTAGATAACTACCGAAAACCTGAAAGCTATCTTGTTTTAACATAGGGATCCTCAGCAATGAGCATGCACGACCACGCAAGCAGAAATCTAATTCAGGACATTCGGATTCGTGAACGAACCCTAAGTCTCTTGACCACTGGGTCGGCATCCAATGTTTTACATGTATAACTTCAATCAATCCAAAATATTACGTAACTGGTTAAGCGTTCGTGCGTGGGACCCAGGGTTCTAGGTTTAGTTCCCGCCTACACTACCGTGGATTCTCACTGCTGAGAAATTTCATACTGGAGTGAATCTGCCACCCAGTGCTTCTAGGTTTTTAATGGTTCTCAAACTTAAATAGGTTTGTGGTTTCAGTTAAATCCAATAATTTCTACAACCCATTGCTGCTTAAACTATAAGTTTTTTAATGTTAACTATGGTAGGAACAAGAGAATGTTAATCGTCACATCATTAGATGAAGAAGTTGCAATGGTGAACAAGAACTAAAATTATTCGGTCTTGATTTCAGTTGGTTTATATATGACCAATAAAGATTATTACCATATAGTTGCTCACGTTCCAAATGTCTTTCAACTGTGTTGTGGTTTATATTTTCAATAGTGTGTTATATTCGGTCAAGAACAAAGGCAAGCAAATCCCTGAGATTCAAGAACGGAGGAACGAATGAATAGAACTGTAGCGTCACATGCCATGCTAAGCTCACATAGCTTATTCTAACTTTCGGACAGATCAA